CGCAGCTGGGGAGATGCAGCTGGTACCTCCGTTATTACTTGGTAACTGGTGAGGGCACCAGCGAGTCTTTGGTAACTTGTTGAACTGGACCCTCAACTCCAGTTAGACAATAATTTGAGGGTCATTGCTAGATGAGGGTTTTGCTGTCCTGTAGAAAATGCGAGAGATGTACATCATTTCTTCATCAGTGGTGCTTTGAAAATATGCAAAATGTATTTTCTTAACCGGAGTAAACCTTTTTGGTTTCTTTTTTTTTACACTTGATTTAGACCTTGTATGTGATTTACCTGCTCTAGCCATGCTTCATCTCTGCTTTTCCCCCACATCTTCTGGTGTACAGGCTCAGGCTGATTTTCAGTTATTGAGCAGCAGCTGTTAACAGTTATTAAAAATATAGTTCTGAATGTTGCAGGTAAAATGCAGTTAAATTAAGTTTCAGGGAGTTGGAGAGAGCAATAAGGTCTCCCCTCAGCCTCCTCTTCTCCAGGCTGAACAACCCCAGCTCCCTCAGCCTCTCCTCATAATACTTGTGCTCCAGACCCCTCAAAAAAAAATTGAGGATCATTGCTAGATGAGGGGTTTGCTGTACTGTAGAAAATGCGAGAGATGTACGTTATTTCTTCATCAGTGTTGCTTTGAAAATATGCAAAATGTATTTTCTTAACTGCAGTAAACCTTTTTGGGTTTTTTTTTTTAACACTTGATTTAGACCTTGTATGTGATTTACCTCCTCTAGTCATGCTTCATCTCTGCTTTTCCCCCACATCTTCTGGTGTACAGGCTCAGGCTGATTTTCAGTTATTGAGCAGCAGCTGTTAACAGTTATTAAAAATATAGTTCTGAATGTTGCAGGTAAAATGCAGTTAAATTAAGTAGCTACGTAAGGAAAATACCATCTGTTTACAACAAGCAAACAGAATTAGCACTTGCTCAAAATAAAGACAGAGGCTTGAGAATGAAATTTCTAGCAATAACCATGAAACAGTTTATGTCCCATGGAGAAGCCCTGCCAGCTGTTGAACCTTTTTGGCTAATTAACACTCCAGCCCACAGCTGCAGTAAATAAGGCTTGGAAATGGCTAAACGGCTCTGCTGGCAGGTGCTTGGTAGGTATTATTTTGGAGTTTTGGTTGTAGCATGTAAACAGCTTTTTTTGAGAGCTCTGCTGAGGATAGTTGTGTTACTTCTTTATTTTCCTACTGGAAAAGCTTGAATTTTAGTTGTAGCATGTAAACAGCTTTTTTTGAGAGCTCTGCTGAGGATAATTGTGTTACTTCTTTATTTTCTACTGGAAAAGCTTGTGTCTTCTTTACTTCAAGTAAGTAAAATAAGCTTATATGGGGCCTGGTGGTGAGGGATGTTTATGTTTATGCATGAATGTTATTTTTTGGGAATACACTTGTGGCTTGACCAAGTAACAGATGAATCGAGCTGTTGGTTATTCTAAAAAATATTGATCTGGAGTCTTTGGTACAGATGAAGTTTATGAGGGCTTGACGCTTGCTTTGTTGTGTTTCCTTAAAAAACTAAAAGAAGTTATTGTTTTCAGATGGGTTTGATGCTATTTTTCTGGTTGCTATTTGTGTATCAGAGAGTGCTGATGCTTTTTAATCCTAATTAATTCTACTGTACTTAAAAATTAGAGTTTTAAAACTGTAAAAGTCTGCAGTGTGTCAGAGCTAGAATAACACTTCTATTTGCACTTTTACATGAAGAAAAATGGGGATTCTAGAGCATCATATTTTTGTTTATTATGAGGCTTCCAGTGTTACATCTTTCATCTGTTTTGCATATCTTCCTGAAAGTCTTCTGATACCTTCTACTTTCCTAACGCTTTAATTTTAGAGAGAAATGATTGTAAGAAAAGCCATCTATAGGGAGTAGATTTTTTTTGTATGAAAATAATTTGCAATCCCTGATGGTTCCAGTTGAAACATAGGCAAAAAAAGCCCGGTACTTATTGTGCCTTGTAAATCAAGGAATGTTTCATTTTTCTTAACAGTGTTTTGATCTCTGACTGGTAATCTTGATTGTTTGGGTTGGCAACTCTGTGTTAGCCCAGCAGAGAATTGCTTTCTGGAAATATACCTAAGTTTTCATAACGTAGTCTATAGTTTTGGTTTTCTGTTACAAATACGTGCCTGGTCTGAAAGTGAACTCTTTTCTTCCATTCGCCAGAAAGAAAATAATTTTATTATTACCTTCCAATGTTCATGCTTCTTTCAGCTGTTCTTGGAAATCTGTTATAAAATTGGCTATTTCTAGTTGTCTGATACAGAAGGTAAATAGATACTGAAGAGCACAGATCATGTGATTCACGTACTTTGTCCCAGATAAATAATGCACATGAAATTGAGAGGTGCTAGTAGAGAGCCCTTATTTATCTGATCCTCTTCTTCCCTCCCCCAGTTTTGGTTTTATTGTGTTGGATATCTTGGAATTTGAGGTTTAAATCTTCCTTTCTGTATTTGGGGACTTCTGTTCCATGGTGGGTTTGACTTTGGAAAAGACTGGCAATACCTTTGCAGCAGAGGGAGGGAAGGACTTATCAGGCAAAGTGTTGTTGTACAAAGAAATGCTACATGTGAAATTCTAAAGATGGAAAGTAGTGTAACTCTTAACAGGGAGAAAACACCACATGAGGGAAGTAAGAGAGCAGATGCTGCTTGTTAAACCAGATTATTTTTATATTGTTACATTGCTTGGAATGGAAGGAATAACAAACTGTGTGGGAGTACTGGAGAAGTGTGATAAGGGGAAATAGAAACGATTTGTAGTAATGTGTCAAGTGCTTACACAGCTGTGTTTTTCCCAAATAATGTCAAGTTCCCACTGGCTAACTATGCAGCCATTCTCAGTGGCCGTTTCTGCGTGTGTTTATGATAGAGATGAATCCAAAGAGGTAGACAGAACAGGATGAATTTCAGAGTGACTTTTTGCAAAGGGGCATCTAAAAACAAAGCACAAGGGCTCTTTTTAGCGAGAAAGAGGAGGCAGAGGTTGGTGTTCCTGCCTGCTTCCCGTTTGGAGAATTTAGTGTGGAGACAGGAGTCTTCTGCGTGTGATCTTAGAGATACGGGCAATAACTGACGTGGGAAGCCTTGTTTTGAGGAGACAGTGGGGAGATACAGGGACAGGCACCACATGGTAACCTATCCAAAGGTACGGTTAAGAAGTCTGGAGTAGTCCATGGCACCTAATATATAGGATTAAATACAGATTTAAGAGTGGAAAGATAATATTTTTAAAAAGAAGCGTATTGATGGAATGCAGGAGGCCTAAATGTTTGTACTTTGAATCAGTAATGCCCTCTCTTCCATCCAGGTACCTATTTACCACGTGCACTGTCAGCTGTGGTGTCTTTGGGCTTGAAACTCTTAAAAATAGAGCTCAAGCCTGAGAAATATGACAAAATAGTGGAGTTAGCTTTGATCTGTAAAATATCAACTGAGGTATTAGAAACGTGTAGTAAAAACACTTATTTCTGAACTGAGAGTGGAGCACAAACCAAGTGCTGTGTTATGATTTCCAAATAAATTGGAATTACTACCAGTGGGAGGTGTCGGTGCCCAGCACAGGGGGTTGGAATTGGGTGATCTTTAAGGTCCCTTCCAACCTAAACCATTCTGTGTTTTTGAGATAATTATGCCTGGTTTTATTAGTTTCACTGACCCTAAGCAATGTGTATACCACGGTACAAAACGAGACCCTGTTTTTGAAGCTGGAGATATCTTATCTCCCAGATAGGAGAAAAATCTGTGGAACAGTGACTTGCCAGCTGTGCAAAGAGGTAGTCAATGGCAACATCTGTCCCAAGGGCTCGTTAGCTACAGCCTTTGCAGCAGAACACCAAGCTGCAGGTCCTGTTGGGTGCAAAGATGACCCTTCTGCTTCCTCTGCTGCAAAGGAAAGTGTCACACACTGAGAAGAAGTTGCTGCTCCAGGAGTGTGGATGGGAAATACCCACCTTCAGAGTTTTAAATGCACCTTTTGACCAAAAAAAAACCAAACCAAACAAAACCCCACCACTCAACAACCAACCAAAGCACTGGACGCATTCAGTTTTGCTTGTGAAGTGGGTGTCATCGTAGTCAGCCCAGTGTCACAAATTTAGCCAACTCCTAAGTGAAACCTTTTGGCCTCGTACAGCTGCAAGGGAAAAGGACGTGACTGTGGGGGGGTTTTAATTAGAATTTATTTAGTTCGAAGGACGAAGAAAACCCAAATACTCTGTGAGAGAATGAGAAATACCGACCGGGCTTCGAAGGACGAAGAAAACCCAAATACTCTGCGAGAGAATGAGACCCGGGACCGGGTTGTCCTAAGCGAGGTGGGAAGAAGGTTCTCTCCAAAGAAGGCGGGGAGAACCGCTGCCTGCTGCGGAGTCGCTTTCTCCCAACCAAGCCCATTCTATGATTCCTCGTAGTAATTAGTAATTTAATGTTAATGAGGTCCCGCTCCCGGTGCGGCCGAGAGGGGGCGCTCTCGGCCCGCTCTCCCGGCCCCGGGCGGGCCCATCGGTGGTTGCGGAAGGAGGGAGGGGAGAGACAAACCAGAGCCCTGGGTTCCCTGCCCGGCTCCCGGTTCAAGGTCAAGGCTGTGTAAACCGCCGCACAAAGGCTCCTTTCAGCAGCCGCCTTCGCCGCCGCCAGCACAATCCTCCATTCAGGCGCTGAGCCCCGCGGGGACCAGGCGTGCGCCACCCTCGCCGCCGCCGACACCCGCCCGGCCCGGTGCCGCGCCGTTCCCGAGGGCCGGTAGCCACCCTGGGCAAGCGGGGCCAGCGGCGGCCGAGCCCCCATCGCCCCCCGGTCCCGCAAACCGGCGGAGCTGCCCGATCGTCCTCGCCTCCCCTGGCTCCGCCCCCTCTATTTGCATACAAGCCCGCCCCGCTCGGCTTTCATTGGCGGAGGCGCTCCGAGCCGGCGCCGCTGATTGGTGCTTCTCCCCGCAGCTCGTTTGCATGCGGCGGGGCGGGGCCGGGGCGGCCGGCAGACCTGCGGCGGAGAAGTTGAGTCGGAGCCGCCGCAAGTGTCCCGCCGAGCGGCCCCGAGACCTACCGGGGCTCGCCACCGCCTGCTCGCCCTCGCCACCGTTAACCGACCCCTCCCCAAGCAACAAGATGGCTGAGAGCGGCCTCCCCGCGGGATGGAGGTAGCTGGCCCTCGGCGGAGCCGGCGTGCGGGGAGGCTTTCTGGCCGCCGTGCTGCAGATCCTCCCGCGCCGCTGGTGGGGCAGGCGGCTCTGGTTCGGTAGGCGCAGGAGGGATCCGTGCCCAGCCTCACTCACACCTTTCGTGCTCTTTGCGGTTGGCTTGACCCGTCTTTCCTATGGCTGGGATATACAGCTCTACTCTGAAGACCCTGGAGGATTTAACTTTGGACTCTGGTTATGGGGCAGGGGATTCCTGCAGGTCCCTTAGTCTCTCTTCTTCCAAGTCCAACTCCCAAGCCTTCACCTCTTCTCAGCACAGAGGCAACTGGTGGTACTACTCGGGCTCCATGAACAGTAGGAACAACAGCTGGGATACTGTGAACACCGTTCTGCCGGAAGACCCCGAGGTTGCAGATATCTTTTCCAAGTGTCCTAAGCTGCCGGATCTAGAGGAATACCCTTGGACTGATGAAGACATTGGAAAAATACTCCGAAAAGGGAAGGGAGATGGCAATACCAGAACCTTTTCTCAGGAAGCTGTCAGGCGGCTCTCGCAGCTGCTGAGGCGTGCCTTGATCAGGGTCTCCAGGGAAGCTCAGCGGCTCAGCGTGATGCACTCCAAGTGCACCAGGTTTGAGGTGCAGAGCGCTATCAAGCTCATCCAGAGCTGGTCGCTCTCCGAAAGCTGTGTCTTGGCGACTGTCAAGGCTCTGTCTCTGTACAGCATGAGTGCCGGAGATGGACTGAGGAAAGGTAAATCGGCCAGGTGCGGCCTCACCTTCTCAGTGGGGAGGTTTTTCAGGTGGATGGTGGACACCAGGATCTCGGTTAGGATCCACGAGTACGCAGCCATTTCTTTAACCGCTTGCATGGAAAACCTCGTCGAAGAGATTAAGGCTAGGGTTTTGGCAAGTCAGAGCCCGGATGGTGGAGGAGGGGAGATCTCAGCTGAAATCCTGGAGATGGTTATCAACAATGATGCTGAACTTTGGGGAGTGTTGCAACCTTACGAGCACCTCATCTGTGGGAAAAATGCTAATGGTAAGATCCGTCTTATACGATTGCTCATCTTCATACCAGTAAGCTTTACAGTAAGATTGCTGATTTTTATGGACTTGGGGTTTTTTTCTAGTTTTTGTTTTCATCTGAATTGCATCTTGGTTGTGGTTTGTGTGCGTAAAGCAGACGTGATGCTTTTACCGGGAAGAATGATCCTGCTTTATTCTGAAGATGTACCAGTTTGTAAAAAGTGCAGAAGCTCTGGGAAACCAGGCCCCGTTGTCCTAACAAATGTCTCCTGACTCTGTACCAGCTGCTGTTTTGAACATTTGTACTATAACTGGCGTGTAAACATGCTTTTCTGTAACCATAAGATGAAATGTGCTTTACAAGCTGTTCTTCAGAAAATGCCACTACTGTTTTTAAACAAAACTTACATTATAGTGAGTATCTTGCAGTTTCATCTCAGGTGCTATTCCCACATACAGCCTGGAGAGGGAAAACAACTTTTTTTTTTTTTTTTTTTTTCCTTTGCAGTAGTAAAATTCAGTTTCTGAGCGAAAGCTTGTAACTACGTGTTACTTGGACTTCCTTCTAGTTTAGCAGAAATCTCTGTTGTAATTACACTTGTGCAATAAACAAGAGCTTGTGCTTGGCTTGCCAAAGTGAGCATGTAGGATGGTGCCTCAGTAATGAGAATAACATAGCATTAAGGTACTAACCCCTGTAATTTGTTTAGAAAGCAGACTTTTTGAACTGTTAAGCAAATAAGCAGATAGAGGGACGTTGGCATCTTCCTGTGAGACTGAGGAGCAGTTTGAAAGGCTGAAGTCATGACAGTTCTGCTAAGAAGCTGCTCTGTTTATTTTGCAGTGTCACACTGAGAAGTACCATATTTTTCCATGGAAAACTTAGAGAAACATTCAATTTGGAAAACTATTCTGTGTACCACACACAGTTTTGTGATTTTTTTGCTGGCCTCATCGTTACAGTTGGGTATTTGATGCATGATACTTTTCCGATTTAACTCTTTATAAAATCAAGTGGCTTGGTCCTCTTCAAATGAGAATCTCCTAACGAGAGACAAATAAAGGAGTGGATTTTCTTTGTGGAAAGCATATATATACCTTAGGTGAATGTTAGTAATGAAATGCTTTGTCAGAGAAGTGCTGACTCGACTTCTGCTCCTTGGCTGCATTGATTTCCTGCAGTTATCCTATACCAAAGCAATAATGTCATGATTCAGATGCCTAGTAGATAGGTGCAGTGACTGTCCCCACTGGGTCAGCCTGGTTTAAATTACACTGTATGAGGGTGGCTGCTGTTAATGGTGCTCACAAAACCTCTCCCCTGCACTCTATTTGCCCTCTGTCCACTGACAGTGTTACTAAATGCATGTGAAATAAATGCGAGGAGCCCTTTGGGATGTGCTCTTGGTATTGGTACAAGGCATAACTGTAACTTTAAAAGTCAAACATAGACACCTACTTTTTAAACTACAAGCTCTTAGATGGAAGATGATAAAGGTATGAGGATATCTTGTCCTCTCCCAAAACACTTATTATAATTCTTGGTGTACCCTGCAAATATTTGTCCCAGGATATCTTGTCCTCTCCCAAAACACTTATAATTCTTGGTGTATACCCTGGGAATATTTGTCCTTGGATCCGAAAAGAGGACTCAATTCCTTCTCTTGATCCTTATGTAGGGAAGGTGAAGTAAAATATAACATACTGTGGTTCTGTAAAGTAAAATGTGCACATCAGCTGCTCTCTGCTCAGTGCTTCTGCCACACAGGTTCTGAGTGTAAAATAGAGAAGAAAAGTCAGTCTCTCATGGAGCTTTCTCTTTTTTTCTTCTTAAAAGAAATCTCCGTCTTGGAAAATTTGCAATGAATGAATGGAAGCTGGTGTTCAATGGAAACATGAGTGACTGTGCAGGGAAATGCTTATAAATATTCAAAGCACCAAATGGTCAGTTATGATAACGCTTGCAGAGTGCAATACCGAGCAGTCATGGGCCACAGAAGGATTGGCTTCTGTTACCTCTTTTGTTGTTCCTGTCTTTCAGATCAATTCTGTCAATAATTGAATGCATTTTTTAAGTCTGAAAATTGAATAAAACTGCACATGAAGGTATCCTGTGATTTCCTGTGACAGTCTGTCACTGGTATTTTACCTGACACAAGTCAGTGAATCTTCTAAATGGCTTTTCTTGCAGTTATAAGACCACAAATGGTTTTATATGGATGCAAAAAAGCTTGAAATAACTTCTTTATTCTTCTCCCTGTAGGAATTGTAAATTAGTAGTATTCACATCATTCTCCACAGTGCTTTCAAATGATCTTGTCTTTTACATTAATTTAAATATGAGGTAGATCTAGCGGTAAAATAACTGGATTTATTCCAGTAACTTGCTTTACTGTCATTTTTATTTCTTTTCTAGTAAGAGTGTTTTAATGGAGTACTTGTAAATTGTGAACTTGGCGTCTGTTTGTTGGATTTTGTTTTATAGCACCGAGTTTGATGTTAGAGATAAAAAGCACTTAGAGGTTAAGTTCTAGCTCCAGTCAAGCATTGCAATCTCTGGATGAAATCCATGGCAGCATCCTATGCAGAAGATTGCACTGGATTATCATAATGGACCTTTCTGGCATTATGATCTATTGAATACCATTTTTATTATTAGATCAGGATAGCGTGCTGCTTTGGAGTTAAGAAACAGTAAGTAAATACATAAATCTTTGTAAATTCTCGAGAGAGTGGGGTTTAGACCTGTATTTCTTCAGTGAGTAATCTCCCATCAAAGACAGGGGTCCACTGTTCTTAAGGCTTTGGAACCTGAAACCTTAATATTCTGTATTGTAACAAACATGCTTTAGTCAACACCTGGTGTGTGAAAGGTAAAGTTTAAAACTCTCCAAGTGCTTAAGGGGAATTTGAATATTATTTTTAAATAAATAATAATCTGTGGCTTATTTAGTTATTCACCCTTTCTGGGCAGCTGTTCTTTAATCAACTATTGGCTGCTTCTGTGAGACACTTTCTGCTTTTAGAGTGAGTGGTGGCTTCACGCTTGGGACTTGGTCTCTCTGTCTTGGAAGGCAGAATGTCATCTGAGCTCGTGGGCATAAGGAGTTCTGTAAAGCTCTCCAGGTCTGTTAGTGCCTCCCGGGGCCGTCTTGGAAGGCAGAATGTCATCTGAGCTCATGGACATAAGTTCTGTAAAGCTCTCCAGGTGTGTTAGTGCCTCCCAGGGTTGTCTTGGAAGGCAGAATGTCATCTGAGCTCGTGGGCATAAGGAGTTCTGTAAAGCTCTCCAGGTCTGTTAGTGCCTCCCGGGGCGAAGTCTTTTTAGACCAAAACTAGGTGGGATGTTGCAAAAATAATGCAGTGCAAGCTGGGAAGCAAATGAAATAAAAGCAGCAAAAATGATAAGCAGCCACTGAACAGCATAGCTACTGGAAGGTAAAAAAAAAAATAAATGTGTAAGTTGGAATACGTGTTTTATTTTCTATTTTTAATTAGATGGAGATATATGATAAGCGTTGGTTTGATATAGCTCAAGTAGAGAATGCATCTGGTAGTTTCACTGGGGCTTTGAGACATTAATTTAAAATGTTTGTTGGGAGATGACGAGAAATATAAACTTACCTTGAAAATAAGATTCTTTTATTTGGTGTTCTTGTGTTTGACTTGTGCATGGGTCATTAGAATCTGAACTGTCAGCACTGCAAATGTGCTTTGATATTATTGCCCTATTAACTACGGCACTTACATTGTACTTAACTATCTGGTTATTGCCGAGTGCTCCCGCGACAGCCAATACACCTGCTGTGCTGTTTAATGCATCAGCACATCCTGGTCTTCTGTGGATAGAAGTGTTGACAGATAAAAAAAAAAAAAAAGAAAAAGGGGGGGGGAGATGGTGTATTTAATTTGGTAGCACTGTTTCTTCACCTACCTCTTTGCTGAAACGCTTCAAGTTCTCTGTGGACGAACTAATCCACAAATTAGCCTGTTGATTTGCTCAGCTGATGAGTCTTAGAGTCTAAAATAAGCTCTACTTGTGTCTTGAGCAGTTTTTCTAAGAAACGGGTTGAGGAGGGAAATGTGTAACGTTTCCTCACAGTGGGAGGGAATGATTTGGACTCGATTAAAATTAAGACCAGTGATGAATTTTCTTCTTGCTGATACTAAACACTGTGGCACACCCTACCAAGAGACAAGCATGGACTTCGGATTTAGTATCACTATTTTCTTTTACATTTCTCACTGCACTAATATAGGTTAAAAATTAGAGCTGATTTTAACATAGAGGATTTTTAGTGCTATGCCATTATAAAAATTCCTTTTCATAGTTATCAAAATGGTCTGAAATAAAGAAGTTATTTCAGTGAGTCCTGGTGTTGTACTGAAATCCAGCATGGAAAAAAATATTTTTATAACATTTCAATATATAAAATATCCTTTTGTCTGAACTGAACAAATTGGTGTGTTCATAAAGAACATCATCAGTTTTAATAAGCTATCAGCTACACAACCATTCAGGGGAAAAACTGCCTGTTGGAAGGGGTGCATTTTGGGGAAGAAAGCTGTAAATGCAATCATTAACCGAAGGCGAGTAGATATATGAGGCTGGTACAGTGTTATCACAGGTGGTTTGCAAATCATTAATAAAATAACACCTGTGTCTCCTGTGTGACCATACCTGAAGCAGGAATCGTTTACCAGGGCAGGAATTCCTGGGCAGGAATTCTATGATTTGAATTCTATGATTCCTGGGCAGGAATTCTATGATTCTACGTGCTCATTTCCATTCAGGATGAGCGGGTTGTAGCTATGATCCTATTCAAGCACTGGCTTCGTTCCGCTCTGTACAAATGTACCCCCTTTGTACTTTTATTCCTACACGTTCAAGAACTTGGATTTATATCAATGAACCCACAGGGACAAATTCTTTAAGCCTTGTTCGTGCTTGTAAATACACGTTCACCTCTCCTACAAATGCAAACCACTGGGTACACAATTAAGAATATAAAC